TGGAGCTGGCGGCCACGAGGTGTGGTCCCCTTGGTCACTGGTTATGTTCTGTATTATGCCCTTGGACTCTGCATTGGATTGATCTAGCCTTCATTCGGCACATTGTCATGCACAGACTCTGTGGGATGATGCTCCTAGCTCCAAAACATCATGGTTTACATGTGCCCAGGCTCAGAATTTCTGGAGAATTTTCCAGCTGTCTTTGTGGCTACTCTGATACTCAGTGGGGTCATTCACCTTCCAGTGCCTCGGGGATGCCTCCAGGGCTGTTAAGGGTGCATGTGTACATTTCAAACTCCGCTTCTTGGAATGGAAGGAGAGAATGTGGGGTTCCCTTAGAAAATGAAGGGGGATGGTTGCCGTTTTGGTTTCCTGGTTACAAAACTCGGGATTTGCATACTTGACCTCTCGGGCACACGTCAGTGTCAGGCAGGGCAGCTGGTGACCCTGGAAGTCGGGGGCATCCTGCAACCCCTGACCTCAGAGCCTTCTCCAGTGGCCCGATTCCTGCAAATGTTTTCTGCCAGCACTCCAGGTGTGTGGTAGACACCCCACAAAGTCTTCCTCAAGACCTGAGTCCTGTGATCTTCACGATTGAGAAATGCGGAGGGGTTTGGGGATTGAATGGATATAGCCACGTTCTCCTAGGTGACTCCTTGGTGCCATGGCTAATTCTACGACAGTTAACCTGAAAACCACCTCGGGGACATACAGTGCTCCTCTTCTCTTGATGTTAAATTCAGTGGGTTGAGATCCATGGAAATGCAAAGGGCTGGTGACCTTAATTCAGGGCTCAACGCCCTCTGAGGTCTGTAGTCAGTAGCATCAAAGTGATAATCTGGAAGTCTGTAGCCAGGAGACCATTTGAGCAGGGAGGCACATGCCTCTGCTCTTTCTGCCACTGGACAACCTCGGCACATCATTTCAAACACCACTGATACAAACATGCAAAAAATCCATCCTCTGCTCTTTCTGCTTCTCGATGCTTTGAAATAACGAGGCTGAGTATCCTTTGACTATTTGAAGGACGTGTAGTCTGTTCATTTTAATTGTAGTGGAAGCCTTTTTAATTGTGTGAGTAGGAAGTTCCTGCAATAATAATCCCTGGGAAGGGAGGTGTTTTGTCATGAGTTGTGCTGACCATGGCTCAGCCCCCTTTGCTGAGGAGAACCTTTAGCAGCAACTCTGGTAGTTCAGTGAGGGTCCGTGCAGGTGCGTGCACCCGAGAAGGAGCTCCGCTGGCCTAGGTGTGAGCAGGGGAGTGGAGTCTCACCTGTGCCTTATTGGTCCTGCTGGGACTTGTGTCAGGCAGCTAGGCTGTGACCTTCCAGGTGGCGTGCTCTGCAACCCATGCTAGACCCTCGGATTATCATCCTGCACCATGGAACCTGAAGATCCTTCTCAGAAGAAAATGCTGAGGTCCTTCTCTCCACCAGACCATTTCCTTGTGGAAAACAGAACCAGGAGATGACTTTGTCTTCCTGAAGCCAGAAGCTGAGCATCATTCCTCAGGCTCTGTGACTTCAGAACATGACATTCGTGTCTCAGAAAACTTATTTTTAGGGGCGCCTGGGTGGCTCAGTTGGTGAAGCATCTGCCTTCGGCTCAGGTCATGATCTCGGGGTCCTGGGATCGAGCCCCGCATCGGGCTCCCTGCTCAGCAGAGAGCCTGCTTCTCCCTCTCCCTCTGCCCCTCCTCCTGCTGGTGTTCTCTCTCTCTCAAATAAATAAATGAAATCTTTAAAAAAAAAGTTTTTTTAAAAACAAAACTTATTCTTAAACAAAAGAATCCTTTGGCGCCGCACAGTTCAGAATGGGGCAAGATGGTGGAGTATGTGAACATTTCCTCTGTCAGCCGGTTTTGTGCCCACCAGATTTGCCACAAAGGGCCTCATGAGAGCCAGTTTTCCAAATCCTGAATGTCATTCACCGAACTGAACCATTTAGTCTTGTGCGTGTATTTATTCTCCATCCTAGCTCTTGGGGTGGGCGGAGAAAACTCATCTTTCCATGAGGAGTTGCAGCAGGAGGGACTGGAGTTCCTGGGTGGTTTGGCCAGGGCGTGTGGAGCATCCAGGGGAATTTGCACAGTGCGCCCTGCCGGGTCACAGCAGAGCTGGGACAGCCTGTTGCTGTCGCCCTGCTGAGGCAGCCGAGCTCGAGTAAGGCCAGCTGTCTGGGGGGCACATCGGCCGGCCGGCCAAGAGGCTCCCCCAGCATCTCCCCTGAGCCGACACAGGCTCTGCCACGGGCACGTGAGTCTGACAGGAGAGTGGCAAGGCCATTAGGAAGGGGTCAGAGTGGGCATGTTCGAGGGACCAGGGACAGAATGGCCTGTAGGCCCCAGGCCTGTGCAGAGCCAAAGCATCTGAAGCCTGTGTCCCCAAGACACCTTTGCCCCATTTCTGCCCTGCTCCACTTCCTGAGAGCCGGTGAACTGCCCTGTCGGCAAAGGACGGAATTGGCCCAACACCAGCTAGTCGTGGGGCCACACATCCGAAGTGTGTTCACAAGAGGGACTTCCTGTGAGCTGTCCTCACGTTTGTGAGAGTCCTTCTTGGGAGCGTGATTGCTCCTTCCTGACTGGGAGCCTGGCACGGAACAGACGGCGGTGGAGGGACGTGTCCACGCCGGCCTGTTGGAGGCTCTGGGGTCATCAGAGAGACCAAGGAGAGACTTCTTACGGGGTGACGTAACTTGGCACCTGTCTGTGTTGCAGGAGGGTTGGAGGTGACGGGCTGAAGTCAGGTGTGGTCTGGCTTTTCTTGAAGAGCCAAAAAGAATCATTCGCAAGACCTTGTGACCGGGGAGGTGGTCACCATCCTGACAGCCCAGCCCTTCAGAGGATGGGCCCTCAACCGAGGAGGGGACATGGTCATCCCAAGGAAAAGGCACACAGGGAGCCCCGTGAGGGCTGGAGTCTACATGCTTTATGCAGAGTCCTCCGGAGGTGGGATGCAGCTTCCCAAAGCCGGGGCAGCTGGAGGTAGCCATTCCCAAAGATTGGGTAGGAGGCTCCATGCAGAGAGAGGACTGGAGGACCACAGCCCCAACACCATGTGGAGGGGGCATCCGCCCGCAGGGTCCAGGCTCCGAGATCAAGTGTGTGCTGGGTTTCGGGGGTCTCAGTGCTTGAAGGAGCAACACGAGCGACTTGGAGAGCAGGCGCCAGTCTTGCCTCCAGCGATGGGCCGGGGTGGGCAGAACTGTTTCTGCAGAGTGGGCTCGAGCCCTGAGGAGGAATTTAACGGATGGACGGGACAGGAAACCGCTTCCAGCTGAGGGCGGAGCAGGTGTGAGGCCTGGATTGCGGGCTGAACTGTGGCCTTCTGTCGTGACTCTCCTCGCCTGCGTCCCAGCTCTTCCTCTGGGCTCCTGTCTCGTGTGCGTGATTATGTCACATTAGAAATCAGGAGCAGATTCTAGAAAGTCAGGGTGCAGGAAAGCCCAGATGGGAGGCGAGCCCTCAGCATGGCCACTGGCCCCGGCAGGTCATGGCTGACAGCCCCGCACTCACTCTCCTGCACCGTTGCCCACATGGCCTGGAGGGAGGCGGTCTCAGCAAGTTCTCGCTCACAAAGGAATGCCTTCCTGCCGCGGAGTGGGGTCTCAGAACCTGTCTCGATGTTTGACAGCATGATACGCAAATTCACATTCGAGTGAATGTTAAAAAACTCTACCTGAAGAAGCAGTGCATGAAGGAAAAGTACCTGAAACGGGTCCATCCGTCCGTCGGGTGCCAGCCCTCTGCATTCCGCTCAGTGCCGCATGCGACATCAGGAGGCTGGTGGTGCACAATTCCACATAAGGATCGTGGCTTTCCCTGTGGGGTGGAACTGTGACGCACTTGAAAGACTAGTTTTTAGATGTCAGTGCTGCAGGGGCCCCTGGGTGGCTCAGTTAAGCTCAGGTCATGATCCCGGGGTCCTGGGATCGAGCCCCGCATCGGGCTCCCTGCTCCACGGGAAGCCTGCTTCTCCCTCTGCCTCTGCCCCCTGCTTGTGTTCCCTCTCTCACTGTGTCTCTCTCTGTCAAATAAATAAAATCTTAAAAAAAAAAAAAAATGTCAGTGCTGCGGACTTTACCTGCTGGAAACACCCCAGGTCATCCCGTGCCTTCCCAGCGGGGTGCATGCCGGCAGAGTGACAGGAAGCCGTGGCTGGTCGGCCAGTGGTTCAGGCCACGTGCTGGGGGACTAAATGAGGGTGGCCTGCTCACCGTGTTGTGATGTCTGGTTGTAGGAATGCCTGCTCTTTCCCAGCTCTTGTTTTCTGAATCAGAGCTGGTGTGACCGGTGGGCATAAAAAAAGCTAGCTGAGCGGATGTGGCCCAGGCAGCTGGATGTGGTCAGCGACCAGACCATGGGGTGGATGGTCCCAGGAGAACCCCGTCTCACAGGGTCTGCCCCATTAGTGCTGGTCATTCAGGGCTTCTGGACTCCATGTTCCGCGAGGGGTGTGGTCCGTCCAGCCCTGTGTCCCCGCTCACAGACGAGGCCTGCTCAGGGTGCAGGGGGGTGGCAGGTCTTCACTGTGTCAGTCAGGACTGGGCGTCTAGCTCGCCCAGTCATGTGACATCAAACAGGGCAGGGCCCTGTGCTCTGAGCATCTTTAAAATCAGGCTCCATGTCAAGTAGGAAGATGTTTGCTGGGTGCTTTCTGTTCTCCACGATAATCATGTCCCACGGTCACAGTCTTAGAGCCCTCTCAGGAGACCCGCTGCCTCAGCCACACCCGAGCACTGTGCACGCTCCTCGCTTCCTCCCTTGCAGCAGACCGGGGGACGGCGGCCGAGCTAGCCAGCTACCCTGTTCAGGGTCCCACAGCAGTGAGTGCCGCCTGGGTGCAACCCAGGCTCTGCAGACTCCTGTTCGCACCCCACGTTGCTGGTCATTCGGGGAGGTTCCCTCCGACCCAGAACCCAAGGGCGAGGCCACGTGTTGCCGGGAACGCAGCCATCCTTCCTGGCTTTGTGACTTGTCTCCCTGTCGCCTCCCCCAGGACGCCGGAAGCCAGCAGATTGGGTTCTTGCTCGGAAGCTGCGGAGTCACCGTGGCCTTAACAAGCGACGCTTGCCACAAAGGGCTGCCGAAAAGCCCGACAGGGGAGATCCCACAGTTCAAAGGTACGCCGCCACCCAGAGCCTTGCTGGGGATTCCATGCAGGAAGGTCCTGCGTCTCCTCAGGTCCCAGACACGCTCTTGCACATGCGGCCACCTCCTGTAACATGTGACCCGTCGCCTGCCGTGTGGCCCGTTGTAGCCGGGGGCGTCCGTGCTGCTGACGTGGTCTGAGCCTCGACGGCAGCACTGCAGGTCCCACCTGGCTCGTGGTGCTGTCACACGGGCCACGGGAAGGGGACGGGATGCTGCGGACCGGCGTTCCGGGTCACGCTCCCCTGAGTGGGATTGTTCTTTATTTCCAAGGTTGGCCAAAGCTGCTGTGGTTTGTCACCGAGTCAAAGCATCTCTCCAAGCCCCCTCGAGATTGGTTCCCACACATCAAAGATGCGAACAACGACACCGCGTACATAGAGGTGGGTCACAGGGCTGCACGCGGGCTCCTGACGGGTGGGCAGACTGCACTGGCTGTCCCCTCGGAACCCCTTGCCTGCACGGCGTCCTCTTGTTTCAGTATAAGACGTGCAAGGACGGGAGCGTGCTCGGGGTGACCGTGACCAGGATCGCACTGCTGACCCACTGCCAGGCCCTCACACAGGCGTGTGGCTACACGGAAGGTACGGCCGGGCCCCGACAGGAGACCGTGTCCCTGGGCGGCGGGCGTGGGCCGGAGGAGGGATTGTGTCACCTCCCCACCCCCACAGTGGGAGTAGCGTCCTGTTTGTGCGCACCTCAGCAGCCGGTGCCTTCTCGTCCTTGCCAGGCCTCCCCCTGCGCAGGGAGGGACAGCTCTGGTGGATCTTCTGCTCAGGACGCCGGTCCTGGTGGGTCAGGCCCACCCCGGTGGCCTCACTTAACCGCATTTACCCTCACAGAGGCCCCGTCTCCAAGTTGCACCACGCCGGGTGAGGGTTCCACCCGTGAAGTCAGGGGACACCGCTCAGGCTGTCAGTTGATTCCATGAGAATTCATCCCTGAGTGCATGTTAGGGTCTTTTTGGGATCTTAGAAAAAAAAAAAAAAAGCCCATGTTCAGCCCTCCCTAGCACCTCAGAATCTCTGATGGGGTTTGTGTGAGCTCCCAGGGGTGGGCGACCGCAGTCCCGAGCGTGGTTTTCATGATGCACATTCTTTCCCCTGAGCGGACAGAGGTGGGGTCACCAGAAGTAGCCAGAGCTCATAAATGGCAGGGTCCGCACAGATACCCTGCCCCCCCCCCCCCCCCGGCTGGGGCTTCTGTGTTCAGCTCCCTGCCCTGGGGACTGAGGGGCAGCCCCGCAGCTGGTCAGTCGCCCTCCCCTGTGGAACAGGTGCTCGTCTCCTCGCCTGCTCGCATCCTCTTGCTTTCTCCCCCCACCCTCCTGGTGATCTCCTTTGTAAAAAACAATCTGTTGGTTCCGTAGGAACGTTCTGGCTAATGTTCAGTCCCTGGACTAGTTTCCAAGATGTTTTCCCATCGAGACACACGCCGCTGATCACTACCCCCCTGCTTGCCAGTGCTTTCCGTCTTAATTACGATGCTTCCTGTAACCTCCTGACCATACTCCTTGCCCTGCTTCTCGGAGGTCCAGGGCTGTGGCTTTGACGGGTGTCACAGAGGAAATGCACACTCGCACCTGCACATGCTCCGTACTTCTGAGTGTGACATGCTTGTAGAAAATGGGACAGAGGACATTTCCTTTGAGCGTGGCCTGCTGTCCGCTCTGTGAAGTGAGGCACACGATACCGAAACTGTGGCAAGCCTCGCAAGAAGGAGCACGTAGGACGTAGGCGGAGGGGTTGGTAAATGCCCGGCGCATGGCCAAGGTGGTGTTGGGCCGATGCCCACGTGGGGGGACAAGTGTGACTGCAGAGGCATAGCTCGTGGTGCCACTGGCCCTCAGGTGGCCTTCCATTTTCAGCGCCCGTATCTTCCCCCGTAACACCGGAGCGCTCCTCTGTGCTGCCCTTCCAAATCTTTGGTCTCCGCTGTGACCCCAGCCCCGGCCTGAGGCTTCTCGTGGTGTTCACCCTGTGTTTGCTGGGAAGAGTTTCCCTTTCCTGGGAGAACCCATGACGGAAATGGAAAGAATCTTAAAAGAGAAGAGGACAAGGCAGGGAGGGGGAGTAAGTCCACGAGAAGGAGGGACGAGGTGCTTTAAGTGAGGGGCGGGGAGCGGTCACTGTGCACATGCGTGTCCGCAGCTTACCCAGGAACGGCTCCAGGCAGGCGCCCGGCGTCTGCCCTACCAGGGCCTCTCCTGCCCCCGAGGTGACGCTGGATTCCCTTGGTCTGTGCGTCTGCTGGGAATACACGTCTTCTGTTTCTGTCTCTGCAGCGGAAACCATAGTGAATGTGCTGGATTTCAAGAAGGACGTCGGGCTCTGGCATGGAATTCTGACCGTAAGTGCAACCCCATGGATGCTGGCTGTGCTGCGTGCCACGGCGGGAATTAGGGTCCGTGTGCAGGGGTCAGCCCCCTCCTCCCGCATGGGGAGAAGGGCCGTCACTGTTAGCAGCCCTCAGCTGTCCGAGAATGTGACTCCCAGTGCCCGGTCCCCTCCGCGGGAGTGAGCACGCGGACCCCTCCTGTCCGCCCCCCGCGGGAGTGAGCACGCGGACCCCTCCCGCCCCCCCCCCCCCGCGGGAGTGAGCACGCGGACCCCTCCCGTCCCCCCCACCCCCGCGGGAGTGAGCACGCGGACCCCTCCCGT